AAACAAATGGGGCGATTTCAGGGTTGCGATACCTTTGTGTAGATGTTCTACAGATACCTTTGTATAGAAGTAGATGAATTGGATTAGGGTTGCGATAAAAATGGGATAGGGAATCAAACGATTTCATCGATTGGGATTAGGGTTGCGATTAGATCAAATCCTTAGCCGATTTCATCGATTGGGATACGCGGGATTGGGTTTAGAAGGGCGTGGCGAAAAATTGGGGCGATTTCAGGGTTGCGCGATAGGCGGGATTGGGTTTAGGAAGGGCGTGAGCTTTGCGATAGGCGGGATTGGGTTTAGGAAGGGCGTGAGCTTTGGTAGGTTGTACTTAAAGCAACAAAAGTTGTTTTTAAGAGATTAAGAGTTTAAGAGTTTAAGAGTTTGAGCCAAATGCATTATAAGATAGTATAGATATACTTTGACAAAAACTCAAAGTATAGAGAGTACTATATTATAAATCATTTGACAAAAATTTTTAAAAATCATTTTTTATACATGAAGTACTATTTATTAATGCATATTATTTAAAATTTGAGGTTATAAGTAAATTATGTGTACGTATAACTTATTAAAACTTTATGTTTGAATTCGTGTAACTGCAGATAAACATAATCAACTATATGATAAATATCTCATTTTAAATATAAAAAATCTAAATTATAATTAGGATAATCATTGACTTTTAACAGAATACTTAGTTATTATATTTATAAAGAATTATATTATTAAATCAAAAATAAATTACTTTATTATTAAACATAAATTAAATTTTATAATAAAAAATTGAATTGAGAAAGATATAAAAAAAAAAGAATTTTAAATAATTAACTTGATACTAATATCTTATTCAAAAATAAAAATATTATTGTTTTCTCAAAACCATATAGAACCTTATTATATCAACAATAACAAATAATAAAACAAAATATTAAAATCGAAATGTATCTCGCTATATTGTACGATTATAGTAAAAAATACAGAAACCTTTGAAATAAAAAATCTATTGAAATTGAAACTATTTTTTTTTTTTCCAATTTTTAACTTCTATTCCACTATTTCAAAAAGTGGACTAATTTTTTAAAATATTTTTAATTCTTAATTCACTTTTTTTAAAAGTGAACTAAAAAAAATTATCGATAATCTTTTTGAAGATGTTATACGGCTCAACTTGTGAAGGCTCCATGGCAAAACCAAACAAACAGAAATGGTAGAAAACCAAGTTATATTCTTTTCTTCTGGCTAATTAACAATTAGACATGGCTAACGACAATTCTTCCAACCGGTTTCATGTACAGAAATACCCATTTCAGCCAACCAAATTTATCTCTTAAATCATTTCTTCGAAAAAGTCATTGCTTCCACAAATAACCATTCTTCAACTTACGTAGAAATCAAGATATAAATCGATTGCAAGTATAAAGACCAAATCTGTAAATTAAGTTCAGAAAACTGTACTTGCAAAATTTCTTTCCTTTTTTTTTTATTACTTTTTTAACCCCTCCGTAAGTTGTGGAACGGTTACCTGCAGAAGTAGTGATTCTATTTTAAACTAAGAAGAAAAATGACTAGAAGGTAAATATGATGGGGTGAAATGAGTATTTTTTTGTTAATTTCCAGTTTATGTAACATTAACAAAAAGAACAAAAGCCATGAGACACCTATACACCAAACATAACTCAAAGCAAAATTCAATCTAAGCTATGATGAACTCATTTCAATTATTTGAGGACCCATATACTCGATTCCTTCCATTTCCGATTCTTTTGGCACCTCGATCTCTTCTAACCACCAATATCGTTCGCTCTCTTCTCCCGACATAACCGCTCGTTCATCTGAAAATTATTACACGCAACTCGTCAATTAAACACATTTCAATAACCGATAATCAAAAGCATCCCCGAACATCCATTTCATTGCTTATAAAAAGGTGTATGCCTCAATGTACTTTCAAAACCAACCAAAAGAACTCCATAAATCCCTCACATAGTTGGGATTAGGAATATGATGTATGCAGACTTTACCTCTACCTCAAAAGGTAGAGTTTGTTTCCATGAAGAGTCCGACTCGGTTCATATTATACTAGAACAGATGAGAAATCGAGGTCAATGAATTAATTAAAAACTCATATAAGGTCATATCTTTAGACTCATTTAATCTCATTTAGGGTTTGTTTAATTGGTTTTCCATTAAGTTCTGTATGAACAAAGTCATCAGTGCGGATTAATGTCAATATAGATTGGAAAGGTTTTTGTTTTGAAGCGTTTTTACATAGATGGAAGGAGCATATTTTTTAATTGGCATAAGGCTTCACCTCTAGAAGCTTACTGAACAAGCCACTTTCCATATCATTAAGCTCGTTAAGCTGCTAACAAACAGGTCAAACGAGTTTCCAATAAGAAGCACGACCTTCTAAAACAAGCTTCTAGAGAAGGTCCGTGAGCTAAATAGCCCCAAACGTTCTTACGAGATTTGGTTTTAATTTAACATTTTACAAAAAAAATGACCTATCAAAATGCATAGGAGATCAGACCGATAGTCAACTACATGACTCATTTTATAATTAACTCTATATTTAAGTTCTTACCATATGTATTAATTAAACAATAACCATATCGCGAAACCTGTTTCTACATGGGCAAAAAGCGAGTGCACAAAAACACGTGTATTTTAATTAGTATCCGAGGCCTAAACGGCTAAACTTTGTGAAGTATGGTGTTAACTAAAGAATCGTTTACCAACAAAAATTGGGTAAGCGCTAGGTAAGGGGATGATTGGTGAGTTTTCCATTAAGTCCTATACGGATAAAATTGTGTAGATTAATCTGTCTGTATAGATTGGGAACATTTTTGTTTGGAAGAGTTTTTCTATAGACAAAAGGAGCATGTTTTTTAAATTGGGAGAGTCAGGTTTGAAAAAACTTGGCTTTCTGCATAAAGCTCTCCCCCCCCCCAAAGAAGCTTACTGAATAAGTCACTTTCTAAGTTGTGACCCCATTAAACTCACTAAGCTGTCAACAAACAGACCCTAACAGCGTGGTCTGGATAAGAGGTTAAGGGCTTGTTTGTTTTTTGAAAAAAACCACTTAATGCCTCTTAAGTCTGAACTGGTCAGACGTTTTTATTTTCAGGCCGTTTGTTTTTTTTATATAAATAAGAGCTGAAAAGCTCTTAATTTGCTCTGNTTTAATTTAAGTTTAATAATGAAACAATTTATTTTTGGTTTAATATTATAAATTTTATAAAGATAATAATTAAGTATTCTGTTAGAATTTAATGATTATACTAATTATTTTTTAGATTTTTTATATTTAAAATGAGATGTTTATCCTGTATTTGATTGTGTTTATCTGCAGTTAGTTTCACGAATTTAGGGATGAAATCGGATAGGGATGAATTCGTTTAGGAATGAAAGGGTTTAAGAGTTTTTAAAAGTTTTTAAGAGTTTTAAGAGTTTTAGCCAAATGTTTTATAATATAGTATAGATAATATAACAATCGGACATTTTTTTTGGTGTCATATAAATCTAGTTTTATTATAGCAAACATAAATAAACAAAATAACCACCGTTACTCATTATCTCATTCCTTGAAGTATTTTGAAATCTCAAAGTAAATTAAAAAAAACTATAATATATTTTAAATTAATTCACTAATTTTATTATTAACTATTTGGTATATGAACACAATCGAGCATATAAGAACGTAAGCAAATATAAATAAACGAGCGTTCACGACAATAATTGAATTAACGAGATATTTGTTTGTGTTCGTTCGTCTAACCAACTGGAAAAAAAAAATCATATTTGTTCATCTATTAAATAAACGAACATAAATAAATCTCTAACCATTCGATTCACGGACGATCCACTAAATGTAATTCGTTTCATTCACATCCTGCTTTTTACGGTATTAGAACATGTTTGACACACTCCTACCAACAAGGTTTGGTTCCAATCAGGTCTATTTCATAGGTGGAACCGAATTTGATTTGAATTCGATCTTAGACCAATGTTAATTTTGTTTTATAGTTACTGTAAATATTAAATTATATTATTAAAAAATACAAGTTATAAATTTCAATAACAATACATCAAAAAATAAAGAGTAAACTTCAATTTTGGTCCTTGAGGCTTAGTGAATTTATTAAAAGTGGGACATGTACTTTAATAAGTCAAGAAGTCGTACTTAAGGTTTGGATTTTGTTTTGAAAATGGGACCTGATCACTAAGGGCTTGTTTGGTTTTTGAAAAAAACCACTTAATGCCTCTTAAGTCTGAACTGGTCAGACGTTTTTATTTTCAGACCGTTTGTTTTTTTATATAAATAAGAGCTGAAAAGTTCTTAATTTGCTCTGGAAAAAAAGTGATAACATAATCACTTAAATCCTCTTAATCGCTCCCTCCAGACTCTCCCCTCCATCCTCACCTCCAGATTTAGTCCTTCAAATCTATCTCGCAAGACATTCGATCTCCAAATCTATCTTGCAAGACATTCGATCTCCAAATCAATCACGACCCAGATCGATCCACATATTCTCGTAAAATCATGACCCAGATCGATCCAAATCTATCAGATCCAAAACTTGACTAATTCAGATTTCAGATTTCAGACTTCAGTACCACCTCTTAAAATTCAGAAGTGAAATCAAACTTCAGACTTCAGAACCTCTTAAAAAACAAACGCCACCTAAGTCTGTGTAAGCACCGACTGAAAAGGGTTGTTTACCAAGTGTCTAGGTCAACATCTCAGTAAGCATATTTGTGGGTCAAATGGTCAAAGTGTGTTGGTAAACAAAATCCGGTAAGCACCTCTTACCTGGTAAGAGGCGGTCATCGGTAGTAAAAATCCTAAGATTTGATAACATAATCTAGCAGAGAAGACCGATGATTACTTACATGGTAATGCAGTGTACGGAATGTCTCTGTAGTATGAGCAGTCCCGGCCATCTTTTTTGGAATACGGAGGTCCCATCACATCAAGGATCGCACAAGGCGTTATAGCCTTGAAGGCATGAATATTACCCCCCGAAGTTGGATATAGTACAGAAGTGTCACACGGAGCAGTAAATACGCCATTGGCTTTTAAACTTGCCAACTTTGCTGTAGACAACAGTAGTATTCAAGTCAGTTCACATACCATTCACGGGTCATTTAATTATATAACATAAATGAGATTTTAGAATAAATCCATGACCTCCTGGCATATTAAAGAAAAAATGGCTTCATACACATGGATTTAATTAAAATCTCATTTAAGGTTATATACTTAAATATACCGTTCACATAAACATGCACTTGTCTTTAAGCGCGTTTTACTTTATATATGGAGAACTCACGTTGAGAGGGGAGTATAGAATTAGAGTCGTCTGAGTTTTCTGTGCTAACCAAATCATACGCTTTAATATGCACTTTCCCAAGTAAAAGCTTGACGAAAACCGTCATCCCTGGGTGATTATGAAGAGGTATGACGGCATTTGCAGGCAGAAAGAAAATAGATAGCTGCAAAAAGGCAAAAATCAATACACAAGAACGTTAATAGATCGATGTGGAAGTCCTATCCATGGCTGCCATGGTTGCAAAAAGATTTTCTAAGGGGCCATTTTGCGTTTGGTTTAAAAGGGAAGTCCGGAATTGAAATCCCACAAACACGGGATTTAGAAATCTCAAGTGGGTAGTCGGTATTTCGTAGGATTTCATAAGAGTTTTTTTGTAATAATATTTTAAAGTATGTTAAAAAATACTTATTTTGTAATAATCAATTAATAAAGGGTAATCTAATTATTTTTATAAATTACTTTTAAAGAATAGAATTCAATTCCATTCCAAATCCTACAAACCTAACACACCAAAAGATTCCATATCCTTCTAATTCCAAATTCCTCCATGAAATCCAAATCCCTAAAAAGACCTTCTGTAAAACCGAGTGGGTCCTAAGAGCTTACCGAGAATTCCTCACACTGGTATATGGTTGTACATGCGACTTTTGGAGTTACTCCTACGTTACTTCTGGGCTTGAAGAATTGAAGATTCCTACTTAGTCCAACATCTTCCGGCATCATTCTATCTGCAACAAGTTGGCAAGTTGCTCCCGTTAACAAAACACGCACATATTCAAGAACATTAACGATACGAATAAACTAACACAAAACAAGTTAGATGAAAAAAGATGCACGTTTCTTTAACAACTAAAAGATGCCATGGATGTCATGCTATTGAAAGCTATTTTGACCAAAAATTACGGCTTTGAACATGTAGCACCGCAATTAGTGGGATATCAATCTTACTTTTTTGTGACTTAACGGTTGGTCATAATCCCCAAATATCAAATAATTAACAAGCTTCTTCAAAGAGGTTAACAGCTACGAAACCATAACCCACATTGCATTGGAGTAATCTATAACTAGTTAATTCAGATAGATTTTTACATGATGAGCCTAGGTTTGTTAAGAATCATTGCTAACATCGTATGTGATCACAGAATTGTTCCCATGTTTGGATAATTGTTTAAAAAAGACATCAGAGTAGACGCTGCTAATTCACACACACTAGTACGTATGTAGGAGGTTCCTCCTTTTGTCCATAAACATCTTCGAACTAAACTTAATTTGATGCCCTACTTTCATTAGTTGTAAAAATATAACCAAAAACTAGCAATTCAAAAGCAGTTTCTAGGGTATATGTGTAGTATAAACATCAATGCACAAAGTAGAAGAGTTTGATATCTATTATTGGGGAGATAGATGGACAAATAAAGATGTAAAAGTGGCAGTATGCATTTTCAACCAGCTAGATCCACATGATTGAAGCTCATACAACAAGGATGTCCAATCAAAAGTTGTTGAACCACCTATATGATATACATACATACATATATATAGATATATCCAAATTAGCACAACAGAAGCCATCAACGAAAGGAAAAAGATTTCTAGACCAATTAACAAGGAAACTATATTTGATCCAATTGCCAAAACAGTTGTTCTTTCCCTTAAAAACACAAATCTTTTTTAGAGTCATTTTAGCCAGATCTACACTTATTAATACCAATTCCGTGATGATAACTTAAAGCAACAATTAGTGTATACAGCTAGATCTACACCTATATAATATCAGCGATTTGATGATAAATTAAGTTTAGTTCGAAGATGAAATCAATGTGAAAAAAGCCCGATTGCAGGAAATGTATTTTTCTAGATCTAATTTACTTCAATGTATAGCAAATCAACATCTTGCATACTTCACAAATTTTCAAACATCCGTCTAGTTTCTTCTAATATTTCCTTACATGTATTGCTCCCGTGCATCACATACACCATTGCAAACATCTAAATTTGCCAAATCCAACACACAATCTATGAATAAGAAATGCTCAAAAGTGATTTTTCACATCACAAAATTATTGAATTTTTTTATAAAACTAACGGATAAGAAATGGCCAAAAGCAATGCAATATACAATTACCACTTTATGATGACCGGCCTCGATTATTCCAGCTCATGAAAAAGGATTTGCGTTTCAAGGCAGTGATCAATCATCATACGCGATGTTTTTTTTGGGCCAAGAGAATCACAAATTTAACTCGAGATGCACACATCTTTCAATTTAAAATGCATACGGTCCCCAATAATAGATATCAAACTCCGTGTGTTCCTGTTTGTACTCCACAAACATCCTAGAAATTGTTTTCTATTTGCTAGTTTTTGGTTATATTATTACAACTAATGTAAGTGGTGATCAAATTAAATTTAGTTCCAAGATGTTTATAGATAAAAAGAAAAGAAAGAACCTCCTACATGCGCGCTAGTTGCGACTATTCTGATGTTCTATTTTTAGACAATTATCCAAACATGGCAACAATTCTGTGATCAAATACGATGTCAGCAATGGCTTTTAACATCTAATTAGAAACGAACATGCCGTAAATAAAACTCAAAACACAAATCGCTCACCGAGAATATGGCAAAGCTTCTGCACGTCGGTAGGAGACGGAACGGTCCCGACGCCTTTGAACACATCTAGACAAGAAATGTAAAGCCTCTGCAACGGAAACGAAATCGCCGCCGGAGACGGTGGAGACCGCTTCCTCTTGCTACTGGTCTTCCGGCAACATTTCTTCTTCCTTATACTCTTGCTCATATCAGCCAACCTTACCTCAATCGTCATCGATATATCAATCAAAACACACAGAAAAAACCTTCCGAAAACTCGATCAAAAACCTCAGATCCGATCACAAAATAGATGTATAGAAGCAATTAAATTCTACAAAATATACATCTTCAGCTGTGTTAGCTTCGTTGAAATTCGAAGTGTGGACAAAAATGGTGGTGGAAAAGTTGGAGGATGGTGAGGTTATAAGGAGGAGGTGGAGGAGGTGGCGGCATGGCAAAACCAGGGGCGGCCATGGATAGGATTTCGTGTTTTAGTGAGAGAAAGTTGATGAGAGAGAAAGTTGTTTCATCTAGCGACCACTGTTTCCGCATGAGGGGTGCATTTTCCATATTATGTATGAGGAAATTACTGTTATGCCACTATTTAAGATATTTTGTTTCTGTTGGTTAATTGCAATAAACCACCTCATCTGTTATATATTATTTAAATTTGTAATATAAAATATTTAAACTAAATTATTAAAAATTATTTTTTATGTATTAAGTACTACATTTAATATATACTACAAGGATACTCGTGTAATACATAGAAATACATCTTGATTTAGATGTTTTATTTTGTTTTTTTGTTTTTGTCGATATAATATTTTTATGTGGTTTTGAGAAAACAATAATATTTTTTGTTTTGAATAAAATATAAATTTTGAATTATCATAAAATTTTGAAAAAGTTATATCAATATTAATATCAAATTAACTGTTTAAAAATTCTATTTTTTTATAATTTATTTAACTCAATTTTTTATTACAATCCAACTTAGATCAATAACGAAATAATTTATTTTTGGTTTAATAATATAATTTTTTTAAAGATAATAATTAAGTATTATGTTATAAGTGTAACTCAATGATTATCCAAATTATATTTTATATTTTTCATATTTTAAATGATATTTTTATTTTGTATTTGATTATATTTATCTGAAATTAGTTACACGAGTTCAAGAATGAAACTTTAATAAGTTGTACTTATGCATAATTTTTTACATGTAATCTTGATTATAATGTTTCGTTCGATTCTTTGTCTCTATCGACATAATACAATTTTATATGGTTTGATAAACCGATAATATTTTTATTTTTGAATAAGATATAAATTTGACGATATTATAATAATTTGAAAAAAATATCAATATTAGTATCAAATTAACTATTTAAAAGTTCTCGTTCTTTGTGTGTTTTCTTTAATTCAATTTTCTATTATAATTTAATTAAGATTTAATAACGAAGTAATTTATTTTTGGTTTAATAATATAATTTTTTATAAGTATAATAATTAAGTATTCTATTAAAACTCAATGATTAACCTGATTATATTTTTGATTTTCTATATTTTTTAATTAGATGTTATCTTATATTTGATTATGTTTATTTGCAGTTAGTTACACGGATTCAAATATTGAACTTTAATAAGTTATACTTACTCGGAATTACTTGAATTTTAAGTAATATGCATCAATAAACAATATTTCATGCATAAAAATGGTTTTAAGAGTTTTTGTCAAATAATATATAATCTATACTATATTATAAAGCATTTGGCTAAAACTCTTAAAAACTCTTAAAACTCTTAAACTCTTAACCTCTTAAAAACTCTTAAACCCGTTCA